CTTGCCTTCTTATTTAAGTATATGTTCCTTTTATTCTCTTTTCAAATTCCATCATTTGAATTCCATCATTCTGTTCTCAATTTTACCTCAACATTCCTTTATACAAATATTCTTTTGCTTTACGGAAATATTTTTGAGAGTTTAAAGAAGTTAATATTTTTAAAGCCTCCTGTAATTTATTACATTATTCTGTACAAAGTGTGGGAATCAAAATTAGAAATAATTTTCTGAGATTAGAAAACACTATTTGGTCCTTAGTCATTTCCAAATTTGGATTTTTTTCCCTCCAGGCATCACTGGGTGTGAAAATTAGAAATAGTTTTCTTTGAGTACAGAAAGAAAAGGGAATAAAATATGAAACATAATGCTATGTTATACAGAATAAGACACACAATATATTGAATACATTGTTATATACATACTTTTTATAGTGAAAATATATTTTTTAAATTATAATGAATATTTATTCAAAACTTCCAGATTCCAGTTTTTTAATCAGACAAAGCTCAGAAAAATCAAACGATATTTTGTACTAGGCCACTAAATATAGCAGCTCAGAATACTGGGTTATGTACACAGATGAGGGGAAGACAAACTCAATTATTCTATCTCTAGCTCTGAAGAAATTGTATAATCATAATTTCTTAGAAATGTCTCTGAGGTGAACACTCCCAAGTAAAATTAAATAAAGCTGAACTGAAAACTGTCCATTTAAAAATCCTTAATAAGATAAAAGTCACAGATGAATCCTAGAGCTTATTTGTATAGACTCAACCTGAAAGAAATATGTAATTATTTGAGTGAACATTGATTTAGGAATTCAAAGTCAAATAAAGCCATAATGTAAAATAGTTTTTCAAAGAGTCTTCTCTTTAGAATGTGCACTCTCAACACATTTATTATACAAAGCTATAAAATTATCTCAATTAATTGGTTGATTATATCTCAGAAAAGGTCCTGGCACACTAAAGGGGCAGGTTTTGTGTTGAGTGAATATTTGCTGAAATAGCAATCAAAATATGTTGCATCCAAAGAGTCTCAGAATTAAATGCTTTAATATAATTCTTGAAATAGAATTGTCTTGAAAATATATCAGCAGTGATATGAATAGAATTTAATATAATGACTTTGGGGGAAGACAGGGTAATTGGTAAGGAAACATATATTAGTTTCAAAAAGTTTATAAAATTATCATAATTTGTTTTATAGGCATTAGAGATATAATACATTTTTTCTATTTGATTACCCTACCATTTCTAAATCTTAAATAAATTTCCTTATAATAATGTTTAGAGATTCTCAGGTAATCAGCTTGTTTCTAAACATATTTAGTATTTGGACATATGAACAGATGATAGAAAATGTTCTATCCATAAAAGAGATTTTATACTTTAAGTGAGGTTTTTTTATTGTAAATTTTTAAAGTACCACAAAATAAACAGAAAAGATGAAGTTTATTTTAATTACAAAATAAGACATTTTTTCTAAAGTAATAAGATATCTTTCCACCAGAGGGCAACATTTACAAGATATTTCATTGAGCTCTCAAAAGTTTCTTCACACAAAGATACAAATGAAAGCAAACTTATATTGGTATAGGGTAATGACTTCTGTATATTGCAAAGAATACTATTAAGATGTGTATTTAGCTTTTGAATATTAAATAGCATCTACTAATATTAAAACATTCAATAAATTTAACCTTTAAAAAAGACATTTCAGAAAATAGTTTAATTTTACTTATTGGCATTTTCACATTTTATACATAATGAAAAATGCAGTGAAAATATCTTAGGGTAAAATGAAGAAAATAAAAGAGGTTTTGCATCAATGAATACAATGAAAAATCATAGAATGTTATCAATAGAAGAGATAATAGAGATCATTTACCATAAGCCTTTCTTTGTGCAAATAGCAAGTTAAGTGATCAATTCAAAGTTACAAGGATAGTAATCAGCAGAATCAGAGTCCAAGCTCAGGGAAGATCATTTCACATTTCATTCTGTATGTTTTTGATATTCAAAGTGTGCTTCACATGCAAGTGGTCCTGGAAGTATGCTAGACTTGCTCCTTGTGGACTCCATTCTAGACACAGTAAAACAGAATCTGTTATTAAAAAAAAAAAATCATATTGTGAGAAACTATTCTGATGCATGATTCTAACTTTCACTTTTTTTCACATCTTCAAGTTAATCCTTAAATCTTATGTTTTTCTTCAGTAAAATGGAAATAAAACTAGTTTAACCTGAAGAATAATTACAAGGAATAAGTGACATCATGATAATGAAAGTCATTCATAAATTACACTATACTACACATGTTAGTTACATTCAATGAAACCTCCTTTTATTTTTAGTGTTTTATAAGAAAGAAAATCTGTCTAATGATGTAATGTAAGGAAAATCTGTCTAATGATGCAATTTAAGATACTGGATCTAAGATACTGGAAATAAGGAAGAGTTGGCAAAGAGCAGAGCTCTTTTTCAATATGAAAGACCTCAATGAATTTATATCTAACTCTTAATATTTCCTTGCATAAAAATAAATCTGTTGAACTGAATATCATGGTAGCTCATGTTCAGTGTTTAGATTTTGGGACCATATATGAAAAAAATCCGTTGGACTAGTAAATGTCTAAGTATATGTCTTTTAGGTTAATAGTGAAAGAACAATTTAAAAGGCATTCTTTAGTCTCAAGTGACCTAGTAACAATTTTGTAATTTTTTATACACATTTTCCTTTTTAGATAACTTTGCTCAAAATGTCCCTTTTGTGTGAGATGTTCCTCCAAGTACCATCACTCTTTCCCATCCAGTTGCACTGGGCTGCTATCATCATCCCGGGGCCAAATTTCTCTTAAAGCATTAAGACAAACAAGGACACATCATTTCCTGAAATCTCTTCAGTACACTTTTAGTCTCATGCTGGGTCATCTGATGTTCCAATTTCACACAATTATTTGTAATTGTATTTGTTTGTCTATATCCCATATATCTTGTGAGGTCTATCGGGGGATTCTCAGAAACTAGTGAGATTCTTGGCACTAACTGAATATTTTTAGGAGGACCAAATCAATGTTAATAGTGATTCTGATTCAAGCACCAAGCCTGTATCAAGAGTATTGAGGAATGTAGTGACTTTATTTCAATAAAAGTGAATGTAATTAGTTTAAACTAGAACATGCTGTATTGTGTGTAAGTATATATGTATGTTGTATGTAAGCATATGTATATGTATGTAACTGTGTGTGTATGTGTGTACAATGACATAAGACTCAGCAATCAGGCTTACTGGTTGTTTAGATCACTAATTATTGAGGCAGTGATTCACTTTTATATTGCTACCTTAGCTTCGCAGATAATTATTTAACTTCTATTTTTTTCTAACTTACTGAAATCATAAGTATACCTAAATTAATTAAAATTTATAACTTGACTACCAAATGTTTGAGAGGCATAAATATTTCAAAAACATCTAGATGGGTCAAGTCCTGACTATCTTGAATCTTTTGTTTGGAAAGGGGCAGTTTAATGAATGCTCTTCTGCTCATACTTGTTCACCTTTGGTGATTGATACTATTTTGAGACATTCAAAAGCTTAAGAAAAAATATGGCTCAGTATTTTAAAGGAAATGTTTTTCAAGAAATATTTATCAAAATGAAGCAAATATGCCTCTAGCATCTTTTACTTATTGTAATTTATAATGAAATTATGACAACCATCAAATTTAATAGTTGGTTCTAACTACTTTGACCCTCTTTCCCTACTGATGTATGGTATACATATAGGTATGTGTGTACTCATCCACTGGAGATTATGTGAGTGTGTGTGTGTCTCACACATAAATGTGTCTCATAATAAACATATAAAACATATATATATATATTCATTATTATTAGCCTATTCAGGGAATATTTTTATATGATTCTACATTTAGAGTTATACTTCTGGAATTTGGTCCCCGGATCCCTAAGAAAAATCTACTCCCTCTGTTGGCTCAGATGAAATCTAAGGACTTTGACCTTGAGGATGTGGTGCAAGGACAGACTGTTTTGCAACCATTTGCCTGAATGAACATCTAAGAGATCTGTGATTCATGCCAAATGCATTAATAATTAATATTAAACTATTACCACTTTCTTGTTTTATTAAACAAAATAAATGTATTGTTGCTATATGTGAAAACAAAAGTCTTACATAAATGTTTATAATTCTCTTTAAGATGAGCACAAAGAAAATAATCATATTATGAATGAATGTCAGTAATTTAAAATAAATACTGAAAATGTTATCAGTGATAATTTATTGAGAAACAGGAGGTATAGCCAGAGATTTCATCAGTATATTGATATTTGGGTAGTGTGTTTTAATTAGTTAAATGAAGAAGCATAAATTTCCAAGGAATTTATATTAGAACTGGCTTTTATTTAAACAAGGTACACAGAGATCACAGCTGTATTATTCTTTACTTTCTCTATTCTTTTCCTTCCTCTACTCCCTCTCTCCTCCTCTTTCTTATACATCCCTTATCTGTTAAAAAAAAATCACATTAAGAACATAACTATGCATTTTGTGTACATATACCTTATATGTAAAGGAGCTCAGATACCCTGGAACACCAGAAACATGAGTGAAACATGTTGTAATCTTCCTTCCCTACAATACTGTCAGGGCTGGCATAAGCATGCTGAGCAAAATGTAGAAAAACTGGCAATTTTTATGAAGTCTACTTCCCTGGCAGAGTCAAACGCACCATACTTTCTGCAAACTCTGGCAAAGATGACATCTTCCCTCTTGGTTTCCACTGAATCTTTTCCTGAAGATTGCCAGAATGGTCCTTGGTTGGGGAGATCTGTCTGGCAACCATAGAAAGTTGGCAAGCTGGCCAGCCAAAAGAAGCCTCCCCTTTTTCATGAAGCTTACTCTGTCCGTGGTGCTGAACCATTCTGATAAGTCGCAACCAGTCGGGCGCTGTCAGCTGTGCTGAAAAAAAAAAAAAAAAATCTTCCCTGACGCTGCCCAAATCAGAACTGTGTGCTTGTTATTTACTCACGTCTTCAAAGAGCAGCAAGCTTTCTCCATCTTAATTCCACTCTACCGCAGAGCAGAGTTGTGCCGGCGTGATGGGAGGAGATGATGATCAAGAAGGAAAAACTAACAGCAACATTGCTCACCTGAGACCAAAGATGTTCCCATGAGTTTTGGAAGTGCTCAGCTCCTTCCAGCAAAGACACCATTTTAAAAAGTACTTATCCTGTTAACTTCGCTCTTACACAGGGCTTGATGATATTTCTGCCCCTACGTTCAAAAGATAGAAGATTTGATAGTTATAACATCTTCAAAAACTGGAATTTATAATGTTTTTAAGTGGACTGACTTCCAGGACAAGGATTCATCTGCACCCGCCCAAATACCGTGGCACTGCGCGCGCCCTTTGCCACCGGATCCTCCCCTTCCAATGAGACTTTCTGATTGTGTCTACCAACTCTCCTATTAGGAAACCCGTGGGTTGCATGCAGCTATTCTGTTGTATTCTCATTCTCACTCTTCCTCCACTCTCTCCCTCGCACTCTTGCTGGAGGCACACCAATACCATTCTGCTGAGAAGAAAAAGCCAACAACTACCTTAAGCGATTAAGACAATATGCGCAACTCTCGCCTGTCATAGCCACCACTATTTAAATCTGGCTAGAGCCAACACCAGTATTTGCAAGAATGGAGTCCGTAAAACAAAGGATTTTGACCCCAGGAAAAGAGGGACTAAAGAATTTTGCTGGAAAATCCCTCGGCCAGATCTACAGGTAAGAGAAAGCAAACCCCGTTTGTCTGGATCTCAGCGTAAAAAAATCTGCAGAGCTATTCCCGTAAACCCTGGTTGCTTAGAGAGATTGTAATATGATCAGAAAGTCTTTTTGTTGCTCATTGCTGGAGCAAGGCTGCTCTGGAAACCTGCTTATTAATTGAGTAATGTTGCACTAACTGAACCTGTCTGCTTTGTGTACTGTGTGTATGATTTTTTAGCACCTACAGATTCTTATATTTTCTTGTCCAGTATGTATTTGTTTTATTTGGGAAATGAGCAGCATCTGTTCAAAGAACCTCTCTTTTGGTGTTTATAGAAGCATCAAACTAAATTCCTTTGATGCAGACAGATGAGTAAAAATTAAAACCCTTTAAAAATTTAACCAAGATATTCCAGAGAGTAATGACAAAAAAAAAAATAGGCATCAGCTTTAAAACCACTGGAGTAGAGAATCCCCCAGTGTAACCTTCCTTCTATGCCAAAGGAAGAAGAATCAAAATATATCAATAATTGATAGCTTAAGCATTTCCTCTCTGCATTCAAAGCAATGTATATGTATTTTGAATTATTAGACCTCTCCTAGAAATCTATATCTCACATGGAAAATGTGAGTGTTTTTAAGGAAAAAAATCATAAGAACAGCCAGCAAAATGATTTTGAAAGCATTAAACATTATTTAATTTTTATCCTCCCTGTGTTCATTATTCTTTAAATTTCACAACTTTAAATACATTCAAGAATGTATTTACATACAAGTATATAGACTTTTTCTTAATAACATGAACAAAATCAAGCAGAGAGGGTAGAGACAAAAGAATGGCTCCAAAGAGAATACTGAGTGTTCATTTGGGACATTGAAACCTTGAGAAATGAGAAGAAAATGACCAACGTGCTTCACAATGTTCCAAATCTTTTTGATCTGATCTGGTGGGCTTCATTCAAGTAGGCACGATCATGCACCTCTGCGGCAGTAGATACCAGATACCGCAAGGGCCCTGCAGTTCTGCAGCAGCTGGGAAAGACCCGTTCTTCCCCAGCTCAGCTGCCATCAGGTGGAGTATTCAGGTGCATAGTTGAAGTTTGCATATGTAAACATTTGATACAATGCAAAATTTTTCATTAGTTGAATTTTTCCCTTTCAGAATAAATTTCCAGAATAAGTTTTCTAACACTGAGGTTGGACTTTAGAAATAAAATTCAAGTACCCTATGACCTATACCCCAGGTGATAATTTGTAGAATTTAAAGTTTTATACATTTTTTTTTCCTGGTAGCCTCAAATTTCCAGATAGCCATCTCTCAAGTTGTGCATACTTGGACTTAACCTAAATTCTCATTTGTTTTATCAATGTGTATGAGAACAATCGGCACGGATATAACATTTAAAGGACATGCAGAAAAATAAATGATACCGTATACTGAAAACATCTGCAAATTGTAAACGGAGGTGTTCTTTGTTTAAATATTGAAGCTATTTACTTCAAGGGCCCACGGTGATGTTACTGTTCACATTCTTGTTGTTAAAATTTCTTTAACGGATATATTGTGGACTGGAACACTATCAGCTTTTAGTAAAATTACCCCATCAGTCCACTTTCTGCATTCCTCCTTCCCCATTTCCCGGAGACCGCTAGTAGAAAGGGGAATTTAATTAGGCAGGTGAATATTGTGAAACGCTATGCAAATTAAAGAAAAAAAGTGAGATTTTTTTACCTTAGGATGGAATCTCTTACTAGAGTTGATTTGGGGACGCGTTTGTATATCTGCCAGTTGTATTTTGCGTGTTTGGAAAGGAGCCCAAGACATTTTTTGGTGTTTGTAATCAAGATAGTAATGACGCAAGATTGTGAATAATTAATTATTCATGTTTTGGAAGTAGAAAGCCTAAGTGTTGACCTAGGTTGGCGAGTCCTTTGTTTCAAAGTCGAGTAACAATGGGGCTGGGGAGGAGGGGAGTTAGATGTGTAAGAGGAGAGTGTACATTGTATGGGCACCCTGGGGCAGGAGGAAGGGGAAGTTGAGTGTGTGACCCTTTTAGAGAGTGTTTACAGAATTTCTCCGCGCGACCACAGAACTGGAGAGGCCTTAGTCTCCATGGGCAGCTTTTGGAAGGGATCTTGGCATCCTTAACCCTCAAAGCTTGAGATCAGCTGGGAAGGAAGGGTGAGTGTGGGTGCAGGGCTGGGGTTGGGTGGGTCCGCAGCATAGTAACCCTCAGGACACTGAGTGGCTGCATCCTAATTGTAGTGGGGTGAAGCACTGCGGTGGTGGGGGTGTCTACACAGTAGCAGAGGACACACCTCCCTGGTAAGCCCGTTCTTCATCAACTGCAGACCCTGCATAAAGTTAGGCCCAATCGGCCTGTGTCTATGACTTAAGGGCTGCGGGTTGATTCCCAAGAGAATGGGCACGCTGTGCTTGCTTAGAGCTGAAGATTAAGCGGAGGGGTGGAGAACTGAGTAAGGCAGGGAAGCCCGACAGGTAAACCCTCAGGGAGGGGCGGCAAGTCATCGCCCTTCCCCCAGCCCTGAAGAGTCCTGAGAATTGGAAATCGGTCGGCTTAGCTGCAGGCCTAACCACCTCCCACGCCCCTGGCGTCCTTGCCCCCTCCCTGCTCTGCTGTGCAGGGTGCTAGAGAAGAAGCAAGACACAGGGGAGACCATCGAGCTGACGGAGGATGGGAAACCGCTGGAGGTGTCGGAGAAGAAGGCACCGCTGTGCGACTGCACGTGCTTCGGCCTGCCGCGTCGCTACATCATCGCCATCATGAGCGGCCTGGGCTTCTGCATCTCCTTCGGCATCCGCTGCAACCTGGGCGTGGCCATAGTGGATATGGTCAACAACAGCACCATCCACCGTGGGGGAAAGGTCATCAAGGAGGTGGGCAATCTCTGCTGTGTGGTTTCAGGCAGTCACACATTATGAGTTCGAGCCCGGTTTACCACCCTCCCCCCCCACGGACCTGGAAAGTCCCTCAGCCCGCCACTGGCACTGCCATTCTAGGACTGCGGGGATGTTTAATAACCTCCCTTTGCGCTCTCTGGGCCTTCCTCTTCTCGCTTCCACTGCCAATTGAAAAATAGCGCCTAGCTCTCTACGTTTTTTGCTAAGTGAATTTATATAAGAGTGGACGTTTAATAGTTTCCGATAAATATTACTTTTCTTTTACTTGGAAAATTGAGTAATGTAATAGTTATAATTTTCCGCTGAGTTACTCCACTACCTGCCAATCAGTCTTAATAATCAAATGAAACACAATCAAAAACAGATCAAGTTGTGCTTACACCGGCAGCTTCCGCTAAGGGGTCCTTAGTAGCCAAGCAGGTCCACCTGACAGTCAGGGAGAGGATACGCAACGCCGGAGACTCAGGTCACCTGGAATCCAGTTCCATAATCTCATGATGTCTGTGCTAGGATGACACAGAGAGGACAGTCAAGGTCACAGAAACCCTCGGGTCCACACTTCCTGTGTAGGTATTAGAGTGACCTAAAGCCAAGGAAAGAAAGCAAGTGTTGGGTGGAGAAATTAGAGAATCAGTTCTGAATGGGAGGCGGATGGAAGCGCTGCTGGGGCCCTGCGGATTAAATTGAGCAAACCCTGCAAAGTGCGTTTGGGTTCAAAATTTTACTCAAAGGGAGAAAAAGAACCCCTAATTTCCCCAGCGGAATAAACACGCTTTCCCTTTTCCGATGCGTACGAATATATTTCGCCTAAATTTACGTGCAGGTTCACCTTGCGGGAGCCGTCCGAGTTTGAGGAGGCGGAGTTAGGCTGCAATCTTCAGACACACCAAAAGCTGGTTCTTCTGGTCATCCCAGAGCTATGCCTCCCTATTCACTGACTCGCTCCAATTCCCCTGCTACTCGGGATCTTGCCAGTTTATGCGCATTCCCAATCTGTAAGGACCACGCCTTTCTCCTTGCTCCTTCGACGTACCTCTCCATCTTCCATCCCAATCGCCCACCTTCCTTCCCCGCCACAAACCCAGCAGGACTCTGTTCTCAAGCGATTCCTCTACTCCCTCAGGCAGTTGTCTCTAAACCCAGTAATTCCCCGTCCTTCCACCCCACCCCACAAGGAGAGTTCTAGTTTCCAAATCTCGACTTCTAGCTATTTTTCATTCATGGAGGTGATCTGGCCTGCCTGACAGTAATCGGGAAGCAAAGCCAGGACCCCCCGTTTTTCCTATTAGTCGTACAATATATGTTTCAAATGAGCGGCGTGGTTTTTTGTTTTGTTTTTTGTTTATTTCGATAATAGAAGCCTTCTCTATAAGCAGATATGGGTTCAGTTTTGGTTAGAAACTAAAATTTAACCATCCCCGCTTCAGGGACTCAGGGTGTGTTGTTCTTAGGCTAGAGCCAAAGGTGAAGGAATCTTCAGCCCAAGCTCTGACTTTGTTACCCCCTTTATTCCGTTCTTTTCCTTCATTTTCATAGAAAGCCAAATTCAACTGGGACCCGGAAACCGTGGGGATGATCCACGGTTCCTTCTTTTGGGGCTATATCATCACCCAGATTCCGGGCGGCTACATCGCGTCTCGTCTGGCAGCTAACAGGTAAAGAGCCGGGGAGACCGGGTCTAAGAGTTGCGGGGCTTGAACCCTAAAACGGGACAGCAAAGGCTAAGGAAGGGATGACAGCCCCGCAGGGGTTTGGGATTCCTGGGCCAGGGCTCCTAGTCCCCTAGCACTTCCTCTCCCTGGAGAATAGAACTGTTGGTTCTTCCTTTCGGAATAAGGTGCCCAGAAGGATTTGGACTGGCCAGCATCAGCGCGCTTTACTGCGCTGTCTCCCACCAGGCTGAACCGCGTTTGGGCGAGAAACTCGACGTGTGTTATTGCCTGGGAGGAGCGAGACCAGGCGGGAGCCGGTTGTACACTGACTGTGTCGCCGAGTACACAAAAGGATTGGGGGGAGGGGCGTCACGTGCCGCGCTCTGGCGGGCGCATCCCGGGGGAGCTGACCTACCGGCTGGGCACTTCGAACGCGGGGTCCCGGAGCCCTCCCAGATGGTGCTCAGGGTTTGAAGGATTTGTTTCTATGGAGGCAGGCGAGATTTCAAGCGCCCGGGGTGCGGTTCCACCTGTTAATGAGCTCCACTGCGTAGGCGCGGGACGTGGAAGGCGCTCAGCTGCGTCCCCAGGCCTCCAGTCCTGCTGCGAGGTGTCCGCAGCGCAGGGTGTAGCCTAGCGCCAGCCGCTGGAGTGCCCGCAGTGACACCCACAGAGGCACCCCGCAGTGTGGAATTTGGAGAAGGAGGGGGTGGGAGTGTCTGGGAGCTGAGCCTGGAGGCTAGAGGATGAGGGGAGCTTCTCTGGCTTCCTTATGTGTATTTTGGAAAACTAAAGAGTCCTGAAATCTGAATTGGTAAACTGAGGGAGATCACACGCATTCGCTCCTTCCCAGTCTTACAGACGGAGACCCTAAACACCCAAAATAAAAATTTTGTCTTCCTTCCTCCTTTAAACCTTCTTCCCATAGTCAGCTTTTTGCGGGAGGAAGTTTAGATTGGGCACCTCGGTAGTCCAGCTAGTTTAGAAAGTCCTTTCTACTTTGGTCCACCCACCCCTCCTTATCCCTCCCACGCCCATTCAGTTGCTTTTGACACATAGAATCCTGCCCAAGATTTCTCAGTGGTCCCTAAGGCCACAGGAAGAATTTTAAATGTATTTTAGTCTTAAGGATCGTAGAGGGAGGATTTTTGGGTAGCCCTTCCAAATGTCAAGAGGAGACAGTCATAAATTCCAAAAAGCGTCTTTTGAATATCGTCTTTATCTTGACATCACTTTGTTGAGATTTGGGTCAAACCCAATAGGAGACAAAAGTGCTGTTTTTGTTTGTTTGTTTGTTTGTTTTGTTAAGGAGCCAAGTTAAAATACCAGTCATTAACTGTTTAGAGAACCCAATTTTATGAATGCGATAAATCAAAGATAAACGTAATAGCAGGCAGAAAATTTTGCAGGAAATGTTCTCTTAAATATTTCTGGCAGTGAACATATTACATCTTTTACTTTTGTATTCCTAATTCATAATGTCTTGAGCCTATTTTTTTCCCTAAAAGTATTGTCAAAACAGAATAAATTTATCAGAAAGATGCTGCAAGCATACACATGTGAAATATTTTCACTTCAGAAGAACGCACTCATCAGTGTACCAAGAATCAATAAATTAATTAACTCAATATTATGTAAAATTAAAATATAATGGCTGTGCCTTTAAATTTTTTTCAACATCAAAATCTTCAGCTTGCCAAATGTTAAAATGCTAACATTTTCCTGCTAGGAGAAAACGCTAGGGGTGCCCAGCATTCCCTGTTTGTAACACTGGGAAGTCTGTAAGCAGGTTTTCCTGGTTAAAGAAAAAGAAAATGCAAGCTCAGTGCTATCATTGGTTTTATGCTTGGTAATGAGCAGGCTTATGCTGACTTGGATTCTAATTTATTTTATAGATTTGTAGAAATTTTCCTACCAAGAAAAATATTCGAATTTTTATTTGGATTTCAATTCACCTTACTTTTAAATGTTTCTATAAGACAGAAAAAAAAAATAATGGTCTTTTTACCTACATTACCTTTGGTTCTATAAGACTGAGAAATTAAGTTACAATTTATTGTAAAATATTATGGCTATATAAAAAATTATAAATTAACTTCCTTAGCAGATCCTAGGCTTTGAATCACTTGCTTCATATAAAAAATATAACATAGTATTGCAAATACAGTAAAAAAAAAACTGTGAAAACAGGTTTTGATGTATATATAGAAAATTTCCTTTTATGATTAACAAGTCTTACTGACTAAATAAGAAAAAATATGTAAAAAGGACGGTCTAATAAATCATAAATTATTTAATCTCCCAGGATACATATTATTAGCATGTTATAAATGTCCAATTATGCCTACACATACCATATAGAACATTAGATTTTTTTTTTTAACTCAACATTTGAGTTTTTTTTCCTTTGGTTTGACAGATGTTTAGTTCCCATTATGATCTTTTTTTTTTTAAAATGTTAAAATATAGCACAGAAAGAAACAAATTGTATGTTCATTTAAATAATCTTATCCATAGATCATATCATAGTAGTAGAACAAGATTTCCCTTGGTTGGGATTCTGGGGACAGATTCCTCTCCCTCTGGTTGTAAAAAAAATCACATTTTGGAAAGTATTTGCTATCACTGCTATTGTTGGAAGTGAGGGGAGGAACTGAGGTGTGTGGAGACTATTCCTCAAGAGAAAAGGGCTTCTAATTACAACCTGGGCAGTTTTCTCAATGAAAAACAAATAGCAATGATTTGATTTCTCCATTTTATGAATAAAGCAAAATCAACTCCACCCTTATGTAGATTGCTAATTCCACACTTGATCCCATTTCTGGTCAAATTCTGAGTTTTCATGCTTTCCTTATCCTTGAGAGGAAATTTGGGGGGAGGCTTGTGGAAAAGAAACTCCTTCCCAGAAGGGAGTGCTTACATCACTTTTTCCTTTGTCTTTCTTTAAAGAGGTATTACACATTCTGGCCAGGAGAATTTAGTCACCTCCAAGGAGGGTTTGAGGGTAGGGAATCAAAGGACCCCTCACATAATCTGTAATATTTTTAGATGAGGACATATTCAGGTAGTGAATAAAAGGTTTTCAGGGAAAATTAATTCTGTCTTTGTACAATGCAGCACTTAGGGTTTATCACAATCCATAGGATTTACAAATGTGAAATTGATAAGGACCATTTTTATTTTTTAAAGAGTGTCGAGGAACCCCAGCAAATGTTTAATGAGAGAAACAATATAACTTTTGCAAAGGGCATAGCTAACAAAGGTCAGATCTGGGCCCTCCCTTGTGGCACAGGGGGTTAAAGCACTGCACTAAGAAGCTTAAGCCACTTCCCCATGAGTTCGATCCCCTCCTGCCCCAGAAGAGATCTACATGGCCTGACCTCTCCTGACCCGAGGACTGTTCCCCTCAGCAGTGTACTTCGTCGATCTGCCCTTTCTGCTCCCCACTCTGTCTCTGGTGAATCCTCTCACCCTCCGCATCTCTGGCCTGTACCCCAGTTCTGTATGAATAAATAAATAAATCTTAAAAAAAAAAGAAGAAGAAGAAGAAGGTCAGATCCACCAAAAGTAGTTTGGTCAACATTAGGTTTTTAAAATATGACTTTGTATCCACAAAAAATATTCTTACCTTTATCAATGTACTTGGCAATATTATTTAAATGCTATTTACAAATTTCCCCACCTTGCTCCCAAGCTCCTGAATTCCCAGCCATGCTTTAAGTTTTTATGTAACACTTATTGCCAGCTGTCATCCAAATACAAAATATTGCTTTTCCATATTTGTTTGCTAATCTTCATCTTTCTCCAATAAAATCTATACTCTATGAGTGTAGGTGATCTAGTTCATGTACTTTATACTGCTAAAGCCCTAACATTGCAAAGAGCGCCTGACCCAGGAGACATGTTTGCTGAGTAAATTAAATGAACATCACATCAATGATTTGGGCTTTTAAAAAGGCAGCATAGGATAGTGATGAGGATATAGATACTAAAGCCTAACTGTGTAGGTTAAACGGTTTCCCTCAGTGTATTTTGTCTTTTTCGGCTTTTCTGGATGTTCTTGAATTTTGCTAAAGTCAAGAAATAAAGACTTTTATTTGAATAAGCACCTGGGGGTTGCATGTACCTGTAGCATAAACTCCTTTTAACAGAAATAATCCATAGTAAGGAACCTCCCTGGTGGCACAATGGGCTTGGGTCCAGCACTGCAAGTTGGCCAAAGCAGCTTCAGTGCCCTTTTGACCCCTACCCCAAAGATGATCCACATGACACAGCAGACCTCTCCTGTCTTGCCCACTAGCCCAATCAGCAGAGTACTTTGTCAGCCTGCCTGTTCTGACCTCCACTTTGTCTTTGGTGAATCCTCCCACCACACCTGATCTCTGGCCTGTACCCTAGTTCTATATGCATAAATAAAATAAATCTTAAAAAAAAATCCATATTAGAGCTGGCCAGTGCTCATCTAATCCAATTCTCTTATTTTACTGACTAGAAAATAGAAGCAGAGAATCAGGGAAGTGGATCTTTGCCCACGGTCCCAAGGAGATGGTGACTAAGACTTAGATGTCTAGAAATGCATGACCATCAGCTGACTATATTGAAATTTAAGAACTCTGCCTGATGGTATATGCTTCATGGCAAAGTTCACTTCCAGCAGCAGTCTAAGCCATCTGTTCTCCAAGTGAGTAACTACAATCTATCATGCCCCAGAGCCAGTACAGAAATCCAGGGATTAGAAAGTGAAACCTTTAGCTGTCCCAAGGGACCCTTAGGTTTTTGTGGCAAGAAAAACATACTGTGTATATGTGTGTGTACAAGGTCCCAAACTATTTGGCTAGAACATCAATGATACTACACTTTGCTCTGCACATAGCAAAAGTCAATAATGCCTTAAACAAATAGTGTCATATTCATAGAAGAAAATATAGTACTTAGCATGTTTTCTCCCTACCCCTTTCTTAGATTAGTGGCCTAGAAGATTGAAGGGGTTTGAGTTTGACTAG